GGCAATGTACAGATGGAGGAAACAAGAGGCCAGGGGTACTAGGTGGTTGGTCACATGAATGTTGAAATCACTGAGAATGATAGGAGAAGTTGGGACACAGAGGACAGAGGGTGAGTCAAGAACTAGAGCCTTCATGGAGGACAATGACCAGGAGGGTGACAAAGAACTACCACCAGGATGGGGAGAGGGTGAAATAATGTGATGGTGTGAGCCGAGAAGGAGCTGGAGGTTTCTCAAAAGTGGGAAGGGACAAAGGTCAGGAAATGGCCTTGGGGAGCAAGGAGAGCTCCACCCCTTTGCATTCTAAGCCATGTAGCTGCAGCGAGATGAGAGGGAAAACAGCCCTCACTTTAGAGGGGCCAGCAGATGCCCACGGTATCAGTTACAGCAGAATGTGGAGGGAACATCCTGAGGAGAGGTTTGAGGCTATTGGAACTTAGCCCATGACGGACTGGGAATTCTAACCTTAACCCAACTCTACCCCTAATTTAACTCTCTTCCTGACCCTAACCTGCTAGTAAGGTCCAGGTGTTCCAGTGTAAGGTGTTCCTTTACTTCTAGGTCAGCTGGTGTTGGCAGCAGCAGTGAAGGTAGCAGCCGTTGGTTGCAATGAACCATGGAGCCCTGAGCTTCTGGGACCCTGGGAATGTGTTCAGTGTTCCCTCTGGGTATTCTCCAAAACTGGGCCTGAGAGTCTATTTGAGGTTACCGGGATGAGCTCCTCCTACAAAAGTGGCATTTACAGTTCTGGTATTTGACGTCCCCAACCGGAGACTAGCCACATTTACCACAATATGGCCATGTCGTTGCTGTTACTGTACAGGGACCTGACCCTGGTTGGATCTGCCTCGGGCCAGCAGGTACTATGTGGATTTTTGACTACATGTACAAAAGATGTCACAACATGAGTCCAGATGACTATGAGGGTAAGTTTATTAAAGCTGGAGATAGTGAAACAAGGAAGGGCTTAGCATGGAAGAAGCAACGGGAGAGCCTAGGCTGGGCTGCCTTAGCTCACTGGGAAGTCAGAGAAAAAGGGGCCTTGGAGACAGGGTCAGGGGCTTAGCCTGGGACAAGCTGCCAGCTCATTGCTGTTCCTCTGGTTGCAAGTCTCCTGGGGGTCCTTAGAGTTTAGGATATGTGTGCCTGTGGGGGAATAACAGAGGGAAGAAGAGGGGAAAGGGAATGGCGCCAGCTGCTCCCTTGTCTTGAGGCTTTTACCTCTGCCTTGAAGGCAGGAATCTTAGGAGAGGTTTTCAGCAGAATATTTATTCAGCATAATAGTTCACCAGGGGTGCCCTTTCAGGGTCATGTTCTCCACTGATTGGTCTGTGACAGGGTAGGAAGTCATCAGTTATTGCAGTGGGTCCTGGTGTCACCCACCTGGTTTTGCTGCTTTTCTGGGCCTGGAGCTTAAATACAACTGAGGCCTAGATGTGATCTCTGGGGAGGGGACCTGTATCTGGCTGTATATTGCTCTGCCAGTTTGTTCAGCCATCTGTCTCAGTTTCCTTATTCCACTTGTCCTGGCTTACTGGCCTGTCTCAGTTGTTATTTTGCATATAATCTGCGTGAGGTTTGTTGCATTTAAAAGATGTCAAAAAGAAGGCAGACTGACTACTTAACTAGACTTCACAGGACAGCAGTACCTTGGTGGGGATCCCTGCTATTTATTTCTTAGCATTGTGGATCCAGAAATTCAGCTTTATCAGTGTACCCTTCAATGAGCTGGTTCAGGGGACTGACTCTTGGTCAGTCCTCCTCAGTCTCCTTTGCTACTTCTTCCACATCTCCACAACCTCTAAATATTGGAGTGCTCCAGGCTCAGTCCTTGAGCCTCTTCTCTATTTAAACTGATTTCCGTGGTGATCTCAGCTAGCCTCATGTGTTGAAATACCATCTACATCCTGATGACTTTCAAATATGTATCTGCAGCTTGGAATTCTGCCCTAGACCGCCAGGTTCTCATACCTAGACGCCTCCTTAATAGCTCCTCTTGGAAATTGAATGGGTGTCTCAAGCCTAGTGTGTCTCAAACCAAACCCCTGGTCTTTCCCACCAAATTTGCCCCTCCCCTCATCCTCCCCATCTCAGTAAATGGAAAGTTGGTTCTTTTGGTAACTCAGGCCAAAATCTTGTACTCATGTCTGACACTCATTTTTCTCTTTAAAACGTCTCACTTCTCACATGGTTGGAATTTCCTCCCAACAGGTCTTTCTGCTTCCACCATTGTCCCTTCCCCTGCTTTCTTTGTCTTTATAGAATTTATCACCATCTGACATACTATTGATAAAGGATGGAAAAACGTTTCCCTTCCCCTCTTAGTTCTTCAGTCTGGTTAAATAATTAAAATGACATACAAGAGTTTAACAGGAAGAAAATCAGGTTTTAATACATATGCACCAGGAACTCACATAAGCATGAAAATTACAGTGAGGCAAAATGAGGTGTATTCTGGATTAAGGAGAGGGAAGCAGGAGTCTGGGACTTCAAAGGGAAAAAACGCAATTCACAGGTAGATGAAAAAGAGAAAACATGTGGTAAAGAAGTCTTTGCCTGGGCACCCCCAAACAATGAGACACAGAGGGGAGTCTAAAAACCAGACTTGTCTGGACCTGCCCTGTCTGCCACACTTAGTTCATATATGCTAAGGTGGATATGCTAAGATTTCCTTCCTGAAGCAGATTTTTCTATGTGAATTTCCTTAGGTAGGTAAAGGGGGGAGATTAAAAAAAAACTCTTCTTTAGTTTGTTGAGTTTTAGTTGCCTTCAGCTTAAAATAATCTGCTTGCCAGAGTGGCATGTTCTGGGGAGACACTTCTGAATCTCTACCCTGTATATTTTCCTTAAAAAAAGCTCTCTTTAGCCCACTAGAATATAAGTTTCAGGGCAGGAATTTTGTCTATTTTTTTATACTTACACATTTCTGGCATGTAGAACAGTGTCATGTCACATAGTAGGCTAATAAACACTCAATAAATATTTCTTGACTATATGAATTAATAAATTATCTAACTCATACTGATATATGAATCAGAATGTCTGTTTATCAATTGTGACAGCTAGGCAGACCTGAATACTCACATTGGATATTCAGCGTACCCTCTTCACTTTAGGAGAATCTTAATAGGCTATGAGAAGTACATACTACAATGAGAAGTTAGGGAAACATATTAGGGCATTCTTTACAGGTAATGCTATTAACCCACTTTCATTGTAGGAATATACCTTCTTATTGGACTGTAATATTCATGAAAGCTGCTCTGGAATCACTCCTGCATTGGGTACTTTGGCTCTCTTTTTTTCTAATTTCCATGTAGAGGAAACTAAAGATAACTTCCAAATTTTGGACCCGAGTAAATGATTGGATGGTGATGCAATTAACTTAGGGAAAGACTTTAAGTTTATTGATGATTTCATGAGAATAATTTAGACTGAAGGTGATATAAAAAGATAAAGTAGGAAAGGTGTTAAAGCTATGGTAAATTCAACTTGAGAGCTTGTTTCATGTATTTAAGCTGTCACACCAAAAGCAGAGTCTATTATGGCAGAGACTGTACACCAATATCCATGTCCTCCTCTATACTTTTCAGCTTTCTTTTTAGCCAAGTGAGTCCATGTGGTTTTGTTCTGGCCAATGAGATGTTGGTGAAATTGATAACTGTCACTTCCAGGCCTAACCCATATAATTGCCCTCATAATTTTTCAGGCTGAATCTCTCTGCCATTGGACTCTGAAATGGCAGAGCATAATGCAAGGAACTTGGACCCCTGAGTTTATCACTTAGAGAAAATCTGTCTAGGAGAGTTGTTCAGACAGGAACCATCCCATGAGACTTTGGATCAGTGAGAAATAACCTAAGCCAGTGAAATTTCAAGGTTTATCTGATATCAGAGCAGAGTCTAATCTACCCCAACTAACACTGCCACCCACTGTGGTCCATAGGAAAGCCCTCTCCACCTTTTTAGGTGGAGATTTAAGAGAAGCATTTAATGCTTGTCCGTTTTGTTAAGGATTTGTTTTCCAGTTTTATGAAGAGGTGGGTGATGACTATAAATTATTACTTTTGTCCAAGAAAGTCACTGACTTTTAAAAAGTATATTTTACTGATTGTTATTACAGTTGTCCTGATTTTTTCCCCTTTGCTCCCCTCCACCCAGCACCCCCACTCCCTCAGGCAATCCCCCCACCACTGTTCATGTCCATGGTTCATGCATATAAGTTCTTTGGCTACTCTATTTCCTATACTGTACTTTACAGCCCCATGGCTCTTCTGTAACTACCTATGTACTTCTTAATCCCCTCACTTCTTCATACATTCTCCCTTTCCCCACTTCCATCTGGTAACCATCAAAACATTCTCTGTATCCATGATTCTGTCTCTGTTCTTCTTGTTTGCTTAGTTTGTTTTTTAGATTCAATTGTTGATAGATAAGTATTTTTTGCCAATGTTCATAGTTTTAATCTTCTTCTTTTTCTTAAATAAGTCTCTTTAACATTTCATGTAATAATGGTTTGGTGGTGATGACCTGCTTTAGTTTTTTCCTGTATGGGAAGCTCTTCATCTGCCCTTCCATTCTAAATGTTAGCTTGCTGGGTAGAACAATCTTGGATGTAGGTCCCTGCTTTTCATGACTTTGAATATTTCTTGCCAATCCCTTCTAGCTTGCAAAGTTTCTTTTTTTTTTCCTATAGGACGCTGAAGCCTTTTTGTTCTGCACACAAAACCACTGGGGATCTTCCCTGTGGGCACCTCAGAGACTACAACGTAGATACACTTGGCTCCAGACACTTGAGAAGCGAAGTGAGATACACAATGACTTGGGCCAATCACATGACTATAGGGCTGGGTTTCCACCGGGGATCCAGGTGGTCACACCTGGCCTTTGCCGCAGTTCTAAGGAAGCAGTGAGAACACCACGGTGGGGGGCCAGGGCCTGGACTACCAGAGGCCTCTGCAAGGACCGGTGAGGCCTGGGGTGGCCCATGCAGAAGTCAGCAGCAGAGGTCTACTTAGCTGCCCAGCGACTGCAGGGCTCAGGGCTCGCCTGCTCGGGGCTTACTTGGCGAGGGGGTTTCTGAAGTTCCTGCCAGTGAACTTGGCCTTGCTGCCCAGTTCCTCTTCGATTCTGAGGAGCTGGTTGTACTTGGCCAAGCACTCAGATCGGCAAGGTGCACCAGTCTTGATCTGTCCAGTGCAGAGCCCCACCACCAGGTTGGTGATGAAGGTATCCTCGGTCTCCCCAGAGCGTTGAGACACCATGACACCCCAGCCATTGGACTGGGCCAGCTTGCACGCCTGCAGCGTGGCTCAGTCATGGAGCCGATCTGGTTCACTTTGAGCAGGAGGCAGTTGCACCACTTCTCATTCATGGCCTTGTCAATGCGCTTGGGGTTGGTCACCGTGAGGTCATCCCCCACCGCCTGGATGCCTGTGCTAACAGTGAACTTGCTCCATGCCCCCTAGTCGCCCTGGTCAAAGGGGTATTCGATGGACATCACTGGGTAGTTCTTCATGAAGGATGTGTACAGGTTGGCCAGCTCGTCAGGGCTGATGTACCTGATGAGGTCATCGGGCGACTTGAAATCCAGGTCATACTTTCCTGACCTGAAGAACTTAGAGGCAGCTACATCCATGCCGATGATCACCTTGTCAGTGTAGCCAGCTTTGCCAATGGCGTTCTTCAGCAGCTCCAGAGCTCCTTTATTCTCCAGGATGTTGGAAGCAAACCCGCCTTCGTCCCCCACATTGGTGGCGTCTTTCCCATATTTCTCCTTGATGATGTTATTCAGGTTGTGGTAAACCTCCACATCAATGCTCATGGCTTCCTTGAAGTTGGCAGCACCGACAGGGAGGATCATGAACTTCTGCATGGCCAACTTGTTGCCAGCGTGGGAACCACCATTGATGACATTGAAAGCCAGGACCGGCAGGATGACCTCAGCATTGCCAGCCAGGTCAGCAATGTGGCGGTACAGGGGCACCCCCTTCTCTACAGCCCTGGCCTTCCAGACAGCCAGGGACACTCCCAGGATGGTGTTTACACCAAACTTAGATTTGTTCTCTGTCCCGTCCATCTCTATCATCAGCATGTCGATCTTCTCCTGCTCCACGACACTCAGTTTCTTGCTAATCAGGGCAGGCGCAATAGTTTTATTGATGTGCTCAACAGCCTTTGAGACACCCTTGCCCAAGTAGCATGTCTTGTCATTGTCCCGGAGCTCCAGAGCCTCCGAGATACCAGTTGGGGCACCACTGGGCACAGCAGCTCTGAAGAGACCTTTTGAGGCGCAGAGATCCACCTCAACAGTGGGATTCCCACGAGAGTCGAAGATCTCTCTGGCATGCAGCTTCAGGATAGACATGGTGAATTTCTAGCCGCTGGCTGTTGCCACCCAGGAAAGAAGCAGGATGCTATAGACGAAGAAGGTGAGTGTTCACCCCAAGGTCTGGGCTGTCTGTGTACCCTGAGCTTTTCGCAAAGTTTCTTTTGAGAAATCAGCTGACAGTCTCATGGGAACTCCCCTGTAGGTAACTAACTTTTTTATCTTGCTGCTTTTAAGATTCTCTCTTTATCTTTAACCTTTGGCGTTTTAATTATGATGTGTCTTGGAGTGGGCCTCTTTGCATCTCTCTTGTTTGGGACTCTCAGTGCTGCCTGGCCTTGCACGTCTATTTCCTTCACCAAATTAGGGAAGTTTTCTTTAATTATTTTTTCAGATAGATTTCCAGTTTCTTGCTCTTTCTCTTCTCCTTCTGGTACCCCTATGATGCAAATGTTGGAACACTTGAAGTTGTCCCAGAGGCTGTTTATACTATCCTCATTTTTTGGATTCTTTTTTCTTCTTGTTGTTCTGATTGGTTGTTTTTTGCTTCCTTGTGTTCCAAATCACTGATTTGATTCTTGGCTTCATCCACTCTACTGTTGTTTCCCTGTAAATTGTTCTTTATTTCAATTAGTGTATTCTTCATTTCTGACTGGACCTTTTTTATGCTGTTGAAGTCCTCACTAAGTTCCTCGAGCATCCTTATAAACAGTGTTTTGAACTCTGCGTCTGATAGATTGCTTATCTCCATTTCATTTAGCGCTTTTTCTGGAGTTTTGGTCTGTTGTTTCATTTGGGCCATGTTTCTTTATCTCCTCATTTTGGCAGCCTCCCTGTGTTTGATTCTATGTATTAGGCAGAGCTGCTATGACTGCCTGTCTTGGTAGTGTGGCCTAATGTAGTAGGTGTCCTGTAGGGTCCAGTGGCACATCATCCCCTATCACCCAAGCTGGGAACTTGTGGTGCACGCTTTATGTGGGCTGAGTACACCCTTCTCTGGTAGTTGAGTCTTGTTTGCTGTTGGCAGTTCTACGGGAGGGATTTATCCAGGTCAGTCAGCTTTAAGGACTGGCTGTGACCACTGACCACCAACCTCCGCCTTCTGTGGGGGATCAGCTGTGCAGGGGCAGAGTGGTGGTGCTGCGATATGGTCTGTAGCTGTTCAATGGATGTGTTGGCCCCAGGGTTTTTTGGGTGGGGCAGGCCAAGGTCAGACCCCAGATGTTTTGCCCGGGGCCACCGTTCCTGAGCTGTAAAGCAATCTGAGATGGCTGCTACTTGTGCTGGGCTTGGGGATTCCCAGGTGAAGCTAATCTGTGAATCGAGGCTGCCTGCAGCTAGTGCCAGGCCTGGGGCTCACTTAAGCCAGCTGTTGCTTGTTTGATAGGATTTAGGAAGCTGTGAAACATGAGCCAAGATCAGCCATTCATATGGAAAAGCAGCTTGGGTGGTCCATAAGTTGGGTGGTATGGAGTTTCTGGGGATCTCCAAGGCAGCTCAAACAGTGTTAGCCAGGTTTATGGAGTCTCAGATAGTGCACCAGCTTGCTGGCTCTATTAGGGGGGAGTTTAGAAAAGGGAAAATGGCTTCTGATCGTCTTGATGCCAGGCACTTCAGTTTCTCCCTGTATACCACCAGTGCCTTTCAAGCTGCTGCCCCAGTGCTGGAGCTCAGAGGGAGTGAGTCTGAGTAAGTCTGTGTGTGGGTTGTTTAAAAGGAACTGCTTGGGGCTCCAGAAGTTTCTTCCTCTGACTCAATCCCCACTGGTTTTTGCAGCCAGAAGTTGTGGGGACTTTTCTTCCTGACACTGGAACCCTGGACTGGGAGCCTGATGTGGTGCTGGGACTCCTCGCTCCTGAGATATCCTTCCCAAATATTTATCCATCACACAAGAATGTGGGACCAGCCTGTTCCACATCTGTGCCTCTCCTACCATTCTGGATAGATGTGGTTTCTTTAATTCCATAGATGTCTAACTTCCATTTAACTCGATTTCTGACAGTTCTGAATGATGGTTGTTCTATATTTCAGTTGTAATTTTGATGTGGTTGTGCAAAGAGGTTAGCCATGTCTGCCTACACTGCCATCTTCTCACTGTCTTTCATAAGAAAAAGTCATCACTTGACTATTTGAGTTTCAAGAAAAATCTGCTTCTTTCTGGAAAAATCTTTCACTCTGAATGATCATAAGAATGAGTAGGATTGGCTTGAAACAACCCAATTTATGCTTTTATGACAATCTTCATCAGTGTTGTACCACACAAAGGAAAATGAATGCAATGATTGCAAAGACTACAGCTGCAGCACATATGACTTGATGGAAATTGTGAGTTTGGGGTCTTAAATGGTTTTTGTTGTCTAAATTACCTAGTTGTGAATTCAGCTGATGAACTTGCCGAGGACATTTTGATCATAATGAAGAGACTCTTGCCCTGGCTGGTGTGGCTCAGTGGATTGAACGCTGGCCTGTGAGCTGAAAGGTCATTGATTTGATTCCCTGTCAGAACACATGCCTAGGTTTCGTGCCAGGTCCCCAGTAGGGGGCGTGTGAGAGGCAACCAATTGATGTTTCACATATCCATGTTTCTCTCCGTCTCTTTCTCCTACCCTTTTCCTCTCTCTGAAAATAAATAAATAAAATCTTTAAAAAATAAACTTAAAAAAATAATGAAGAGACTTAAGATGTTTGATTGTCTTCTGTAGAATTTCTCCAAGGTGGATGGCTGTGGTGAGTGGCTAATTGTACTGACTTGGTTTCTCCAGGTAGCAGATGTTAATGTGGAGTGGAATGCAAGATGTTGATTGAGGATAATGTCTGTGAAAGACAAAATAGCAGGGAACAAGATTGAGCAGGGAAATCTCCTAGACCATAATGCAAATCTGACACATGTGAAAGGACGATGAGGAGGAAGAAGAATTGAACAGAATGGCTTTAGATTGTGAGTCAGGTGTGATAAAGTCTTGATCAACCTAATGTGGAGTTCTGGAGGAAAGACTACCTGTTAGAAGAGTCTCACATTAGGCAGAAATGACCAGGCCCTAGTACTGCCACCATGCTCAGCCATTGGCTGGAGTCTTCCAAGGCAAAGCATGACCTTGTCAAGAACACCATAGCTGATCTTGAAGGTGCTGCAGCTGGAGGCTGTCAGCTAATTACATCCCTCACAGGTAAATGGCAAATTCTTTCTCGAAGGGAGATCTAAGACACGTACACTTCCATGCCTGCCATAGTCCACCTTCTGTGCTGCATGGATTCACCTCTCCAAACCTGTTCAATGTTCCTGTGAGCCTCTCTTCCTAAGGGGAAATGTGGAAGAGAAGGTTAGAGGAAAGAATTACAGCTCACCTTGCTGCAGTTGTTCTCAGAGCCATCTTTTTCTTTTTCCATTATCCTTTCTCCATTCATACTGATTTTCTGCCTGTTTTATCTATTACTTAAAAAGACTGTTGAAGTCTCCAGTTTTAATAGTGGACATATTTATTTCTCTGTGAAGTTTTATGAGTTTTGCCTTACTTATTTTGATGCTGTGTTGTTGGGTGAATATACATTTAGGATTGTTATGTCTTCTTGAGAATTGACCCCTTTATCATTATGTAATGCGCCTCTTTATTCTCTCTTTTTTTTATCTCTTAGCGTTATTTCTTTAAAAAAAGATCTTATTTATTTTTAGACAGAGGGGAAAGGAGGGAGAAAGAGAGGGAGAGAAACATCAATGTGTGGTTGCCTCTTGTGTGCCCTCCACCGGGGACCTGGCCTACAACCCAGGCATGTGCCCTAACTGGAAATCAAACCATCGACCCTTTGGTTCGCAGGCTGGCGCTCAACCCACTGAGCCACACCAGCCAAGGCTTAACCTTATTTCTTTTTTAAAAAATTTATTTATTGAATTTATTTGGGTGACATTAGTTAATAAAATTATACAGGTTTCAGGTGTACAATTCTATAATACATCATCTGTATATTACATTGTATGTTCACAACCCCAAGTCAAGTCTCCTTCCATCACCAAAGCACAATATCTTCCTACTAGTAAGTTATTGGGAATGATGATATATGGGGTCACTCCTGCTTCTACCACTTGGTTCCTGTACCCATGTATTTTTCCTCTTGGGGAAATGGTGCCATAGACAGGTCTCTGATTTAGCATTCACAGTTTATCCTGGAGCATGGGACCACATCCTTGCAGAGTATTACTTCTGAGCTGGTGCTTCAGCTGTACCTTCAGTAAGCTATTCTATCACTTTTTCAGGCCAGCTACTTCTAAATGGTGTGGAATGTGACATGCCCAGAGAATCCTATTGCCATGGGCACACTCCCACATTTTCTTCACTTTGAAATAAGCCCCATGGTCAGATGCTATAGTGCAGATCAGGCATTCCTTGAATTCCTGGAGAGTGGTGCTGGCTGAGGTTCTATGGACAGTAAAGGCAAAACCACACTCAGAATAAATATAATTTCTATGAGGATGAATTGCTGGTCTCTCCAGGATGGAAGGTGCTCTATCATCCCCATTGCTAGTTATGAGCCCAGCTCTGTGCTTGCCCCTCCTACTGTCAGCCCCGGCCTGCAAAGGAGTGCCATATGAGCTTCTTAGTAATGCTGGTGCCTTATTATTAGCACACTTCTCATGGCCTTGGTGAACAGTGTGTTCCCTGAGCTGTTCTGTAGAATATTTTCCTCTAGTGGATCTTCTTACCTCACAGAACATATTCACTCAACAGGCTCGACTCTGGGTCTTCTACTCATTGTCTGCCATGGTAATTCAGGCATTTCTACCTGACTATGTGTCAGCCAACATGCTTTCTATGCTTCTAGGGTCCATTTTAACAGTGTGTTTGCACCATGTTCCAGGGTCCTTGTCAGGGTGTTAAATCCTGGATCCCTGGAGAGACTCCTATATTTGCAAACTATATTTTATCCAAATTTGTGTTCTAACTCCCTATTTATTAGCTGAACCCCTTTTTAGAGAGACACTTTGGGTCTTTGGGTATCAATCTCCAGTAGTCCTCTAAATGTCTCCTCTCTTCCTAGTGTACAGTCACTGAAGTAAATGGCCA